GTTAAATTAGTTTTATTATTAAAATAATTTATTCGTTTTGACTTTAATATCTGTTATCATGTGAGGCTTTTCCTGGTTTTCTTAAAGGGACAGTTCACCCAAAAATGACAATTCTGTCATCATTTTAGTCACCTTTTACTTGTTTGAAACCTGTTTGAGTTTCTTTCTTCTGTTAAACACATGAGAAGATATTTAGAAAAATGTTGGAAACCGGTAACCATTGACTTTCATAGTATGGGTTTTTCCTATGGATGTCAATGGTTACAGGTTTTCAGCTTTCCTCTAAATGTCATATTTTGTGTTCAACAGAAGAAACAAATTAATTAATGTGTGGAACTGCTTGATGGTGAGTAATCAATGGTGACGTCAGTTCATTTCATTCCATAAATAATAACTTGTATGATCCGTAAATGTGTTATATCTGTTGAACGCAACTTTGAATATTATGCTGGAGTAATATAAACTAATAAAGAGATCGAATATATATGGTCCTTTAAATGGGTTTTTTTTTGTAATGTTGTCCTTTTAACACTGTCAGACTTTATTATAATTTCTGACTTTAACATCTGTCATCATGTGTAGGTTTTCCTGGTGTTCTTAAAGGGACAGTTCACCCAAAAATGAAAATTCTATAATAATTTTCTCACCCTTTACTATTTCACAACCTGTTTGAGTTTCTTTCTTCTGTTGAACACATAAGAAAAAGATATCTTGAAAAATGTTGGAAATCCGTAACCATCGATATTTATAGTATGCATGTCAATGGTTACAGGTTTTCGGCCTTCTTCAAAATGTCGTATTTTGTGTTCAACAAAGTAAATCTTAATTTTCTGGGTGAACTATTCCTTTAAATATTCAGTTCTTTGACTTATTTGGTGAATTGGGTATGATTTGTCATCAATATATTAACTTTTTTCACACATTTTTATGTGTTTTATATTTATGCTCAGGCAGTTTGCGTGTGATTCTGTTGGAGTATGACTCATTTCAATCAGCCTTTTGTTTGTTTTGGTTTCAGTGGTGTGAACAAGGCGTCTGACGAAGATGGGAAACATATTCGCAAACCTCTTTAAAGTCTTCGGCAAGAAGGAGATGAGAATTCTTATGGTGGGACTCGACGCAGCAGGGAAGACGACGATTCTGTATAAATTAAAGTTGGGGGAAATTGTGACCACCATCCCAACAATCGGTAGGTTAATAATAGTAGTACACAGGGCTTTACATTAACACCCGCCAAATGCGGGTAGATTTCAGCTCTGGCGGGTTAGACAGACACCTCCACTAGCCATTTTGGCAGGTTGGAAATCATTTTTAAATTGTAGTTTTCTTAAAAGCATGGTTCGACTATAAGCATGGGCTGATATTCATGTAAATGTGATCTAAGAATCGAGAAGCAGCACGTCTGACAAAAATAACTGTGTTCGCGCGAGCAAAACAGCAAAAAATGAAGGTAAATACAGAACGAAAAAATGATCACTCGCTCGCACAGGTGATGTGATGCGTGATGTTATGCTGTGTTCACACCAGAAGCGAAACGCACGGATAAATTTAGCTATTCGCACGTAAATTGCCACGTGAACATTTGAGGTTACTCGCTTCATTCGGGCGTCAAACCCCGCTTCATTCGCGCGTCAAATCTGTTTCATTCACGTGTCAAATTCACTTCAAAACAGACTTGGGTTCGCGTGATGGGCAGGGCTTCTGTCTGCCCGGTGACTCTAGCTTCATTGCTAAATGGCTAACATAGATTTTATGAAGAAAATAACAGTGTTTATGTGCTTTATGAAGGCTGAAAATCAGCGTCGATACGTTTAGGAGTCCACTACATCCTTTCAGAGGTGCAAACAGCTCTGTGAAATAAACTCCTCCAGAAACTGAACCTGGATGACAGAGGCTCTCAGCGGTGCTTCTTGACTGAGCCAAGCCCAGTTTGATGACTTGTTGGCGGTGTTGCCTGGAGGATTTCCCCCGGGACACCATCAATAGGTTCTACGTTACAATCACGCCCCCACAAGAGCAAGCTTCTGATTGGTTAACGCGGTGCGAATGTCCGCTGAAGTTCAGATTTTCGAACTTGAGCGTTTCGTGCAAATAGCGTGTCAATCGCGCAAAACGCTCAATTCGCGCGAAAAGCACGTCAATGGCGCAAAATGCTCAATTCGCGCAATTTGCGTAATTCGCGCCACGCCATTCGCGTGTATCGCGCCGCATGATGTCTATTCGCGCGTTTGCATTGACTTAACATGTAAATCACTCACGCTTAACGCGCGTTCCGTGTCTGGTATGAACGCAGCATCAAAAAGCGTGCGCGCTCCCGTTTACTTGCGCGAATCCCATGCCTAGAGGAAGCACAACTGGTTTGATCTGTTCCCTTTGAAATAGACTGGACAAAGAGTGATGATCGTGCAGCCACAGTCCTGCTGCTTTCGAGAGCTCACGATTAAAAAAAAAAAACATTCTTTTGTTTCTGCTTTAATTTTAATTATTGTTTGAACAGATTAACCGGCCTATATTAACCCTGTGTGTGATCATCCTTTCATTATCTCACACGGTATGTTTCGCCTGCTTTCTTTTGCTTAGTTATTTTTGTTAATATGTTTAAACTATATTTTTTCACAATAACATTGCTTTAATGGGAGATTACTCCCCGTTTATTTTATTGTTTGTAGTTAACTGCTGATCTGGGACTTTTAGCCAGGACAGATTACTGTGCATATTTTAGATACATGGCAATACTTCTTTTATAAATGTAATGGGTCTTTTTTTTTTAAAGAAAAGTTTTGTTTAATTCAAAAGTGCACCTATACAGCTATATTTTCCTTCTTTTGACACATTAAAAATTGTGGCTAAGAAATACTTATTTGGTGTGGTCAGAGATAAATTTGGTAAATCCTTAATTATGAGCCGTAAAAAGTCATGTGAAATAAAAACCGATTGCATTGCGACAACCCATTTGCTCCTGCACACTGAGCAAGCTCATACACAACACACACAAGAAGTGAAATGAATGAGGAGGCATGTTGTGGACATAACACAACATCTAAATCAAGTCATTTAGCATGTCAAAGTCAAATTTATGCATGTAAAATATATAAAAGTGTGGCTAGTGAAAATGGCGAGTGGCTAGTAATGTTGGAAATCTTCTAGCCACAGTGGCTGGTGATCAAAAAAGTTAATGTCAAGCCCTGGTAGTACTTCTCATCAGCAGCACCTGAAATGGAGATATATGGCCACATATGGATTACATTTTTCTTTTGTCTTCAAGGTTTTAATGTTGAAACAGTGGAGTACAAGAATATTAGTTTTACAGTTTGGGACGTCGGCGGTCAAGATAAGATTCGACCATTGTGGCGTCATTATTTCCAGAACACACAAGGTAACCAGTGTTTTCCAGCATAAAGACTTCACATAAGATTGTTTTTTGTGCTTCAAGGTCACAATTTAAAAAGTCACAATATACCTTTTTATTTACTATTTCATGGTGGACACAAGTATCCGCATATTTGAGTTCATTTGAATTCTGCTTTTCTGTTTTCAGGTCTGATCTTTGTGGTTGACAGTAATGACCGTGAGCGTGTGAATGAGGCGCGAGAGGAGCTGATGAGGATGTTGGCTGAGGATGAGCTCAGAGAAGCAGTTCTGCTGGTGTTTGCCAACAAACAGGTACTGACAGCTTAACTCAATAGCCCCTTTCACACATACAGACCTTTCCGGAAAATTGCCGGCAATTTTCCGGAAAGGTTGTATGTGTGAACAGGTCCTTTTTGAAAATACCGGTAAATTCGTTCTGGCTATTTTCCGGAAAGAGAAGTTGTAACATTACCGGCAATTTGCCGGAATGCTGCGCTGTGTGAATGCAGAAGGAAGATTCCCGTAATAAGCGCGTGCACGTCTAGAACGTGCTGACGTGAGACGTCTGTTTTAGCCAATCACAACAGTCAGACGCATTTACGTCCGCGCGGTTTGTGAGAATAAAAACCTTTGAATATTTTTCCAGACACATTTAGCTGCTAGAAGTTAGTCAGATCACGTTTATATGTTCTTCTTTATGCCAACTGTGTAAATAATCATCGATGAGATGCTTATGATAAGCCGTTGTTTGTTTACCTTCAAGCTTTGCGTGTGCCTTTGAAACAGCCTGTGAGCGCCTGCACACGCACATATTAGGAAGATCTCGACATGCGAAAGTGATCCTGCGAAAGTTGTTCACAATATTGATCATCCACAGAGTTTGTAATTTAGTCAAATGTTTACAAATACAAGCACAGCCGTTTAAAGCTCATTTGTGGTGAATGATGTCAGAATTTACCGGTATTTTGGAATGGATGTGTGAATGCTCTTTTCCGGAATAATTCCGTAACGTCCTCGCCTGTGTGAACAGCGCTTTTTTGAATTTACCGGTAAAGTCGTTCCGGAAATTTTCCAGATATTTACCGGTATCACTGTGTGAAAGGGGCTATTGTCAAGCCTGTTTACACTTGGGTACTTTATCCGTTTCCTTATTTAACCCTTATTTTATTTTATTTATCCGTAACCCTTATTTTTTTTCTTTTTTAAATATTTCCCAAATGATTTTTAACAGATTCAGCCATTTTTCACAGTATTTCCTCTGATATTTGTTCTTCTGGGAAAAAGTCCTATTTGTTTTATTTCAGCTAGAATAAAAGCAGTTTTTAATTGTTTTAAACCCATTTTACGGTCTATATTATTTGCCCCCTTAAGCAATATTTGTTTTGTATTGTCTCCAGAACAAACCACTGTGTTACAATTACTTGCCTAATTACCCTAACTTTAACCTAATTAACCTAGTTAAGCTTTTAAATGTCACTTTAAGCTAAATACAGTGTCTTGAAGAATATCTAGTCAAATATTATGTGCTGTCATCATGTCAGAGAAAATAAATCAGTTATTAGAGATGAGTTATTAAAACTATTATGTTTAGAAATGTGTTAAATGTGTTAAAAAATATATTCTCGCGGTTAAACAGAAATTGAAGGAAAAATATACAGGGAGGCTAATAATTTAGGAGGGCTAATAATTCTGATTTCGACTATAAGGGCTCTATTTTGACGGTCCATGTGCAGAGCGCAAAACGCAGGGCGCAAACACTTTCAGGGCGTGTCAATGTATTTTTGCTAATATAAGGATGGAAAAATCCGCTTTGCGCCGTGGCGCATGATTTAAAGGGTTGAGTTTATTTTCTTAATGAGTTATAGGTGTGTTTTGAGAATAAACCAATCAGAGTTTCATCTCCCATTCCCTTTAAGAGCCAGCTGCGTCGCGCCATAAGCACATTTGCTATTTACAGGACGTAAAGTAAGTTCACTTTCGCTTTTGCTCTCGTGGATCGGAAAACCTTTACGCACAGACATCAATTAGCCTGTAAATAATTAATTTCGTTTGTTAAGCGCAAAGATTTGTTTCAAAACTATTTCTAAATTCAGTTCTAATTTCCAGCAAACTAATAAATAATCAATAATAATGAAGTGTGTTCAAAAAACTGAGTTATATCCTAAAACACATGCTGTGCCCCATATGGTCTAAAACCTGACAGGTGGACAAATCTAAGCTTGTTTTTAATAAAACAAATATAAATATGGATATAATAAATAATACTGCTAATAATAATAACATTATACAAAAGCAAATTGAATGAACTGAAAAAGCCTCCCGAGGTGAGAATTCAAGGCAGTGGTTTTTAAATTCATGTAGGCTAGAAATTAATGTGTTGTAATATTTTAATCCTTTATATTTACATCCTGTATATATCCTTATTATATCCTATATATATCCTTAATATTTTAATTCTTTTTTATATGTAAAGATATTTGTGTATTGCTCCACATCTTGTGTATTAAGCAGTGTGTAAGCTAGGCGCACTCTGCGCCAGACTTTAGCCGGGTTTGTTCTGGTCTAAAGAAAAGACTATTACAGTTTCTTAAAATAGCAACGCGCCAAAACACGCCTGCTTTTTTTGACCAGAACGCCTATGGGCGCACAAATGAGCGCAAATGCATTTGCTATTTAAACAGCGTAGCGCAAAATGTCAAAACGACTTTTGCGCCAAGCTGAAACTAGCAAACAACAATTGCATCACGCCTTGCGCCACATTGCGCCGGGTGTATGATAGGGCCCTAAATGTGTTTCCTCTAAATGGATATAAATCCTGCACATATGCAGATTTAACTAGGTTGCCTCGACTTGTGTCAAATACATTACATTTTTTAGGGAAATGTAAACTCACACATCTTATTCGGTACACAGATGACAGGCCTGTAGCCAGCGTGGTGAATGGGGTGGTTCCTTTTTCTTAAAAAGCTTGTCGAATGGTCATCCTAACCACACATTTTGACAGACCAAAACGTTACCTAAAGATTTAGAATAAAGCAATAAATTTTTTTTATTATTATTATTATTATTACTTTTTACAAATTAAACTTTAGTGACAAGGCAGCACTGGCCCGATTGGGCCAGTAACCATACTGTTCACTGTCTAGAGTGTCTCGTACGCTGGCCCCGGACCATCGGGCAGTCCTTATTGTCGAGCCCTGCACTATTTTTATTTAATCCTTATGCAGCTAAAAATAAATATGTCATCATTACGCCATCATTAAGTCTTCATCAAGTAAAGTAAATAAAAGGATTATTCTAATGCACAGAATGCGCAGTTATTCCTCAATTTAGTCATTCCTAGAATTTAGTCATTCTTATTCCTATAGTATAATAAGTCTTATTTTTGTAGGATATATTATTGCTTGTTTATTTTTGAGACACCTTTATAATAATGATGGTTTAAGTAGATGATCGAAACTATTCCTTACGGGAGCTAATAATATTGTCCTCAAAATGGTTTTGAAATAAAAGAATACGACTTTCTCCAGGGGGAAAAAATATTATAGGAAATGCTACGACCAATTCCTTTCTTTGTTAAACATCATTTGAACATCAATAATTCACAGGAGGGCTAATCATTTTGACTTCAACAGTATGTAACATGGTCTTTGTCCCGCAGGACCTGCCGAACGCCATGAACGCCGCCGAAATCACGGACAAGCTGGGTCTGCACTCACTCCGGCACAGAAACTGGTACATTCAGGCCACGTGTGCCACAAGCGGCGACGGCCTCTATGAAGGACTCGACTGGTTGTCCAATCAGCTGAAAAACCAGAAATGATGACCTCACTCCACTGCTGTTCCCTAGTCTGATATTCTCTCAACACTCGCTTTTATTTGCTCCTTTCTAAAAACAAACGGTGCTGGAAGCTGTGCTCATTTCAAACACGCTTCACGGAAGAAAACGTCCTCGTCTGTTTAGTGTAAATAGTTTTTGTTGTGAGGCAGCTTTTGAGCACCATTATGCAAACTAGATTTAGTCCATCGTTCTGTATTTTCCATTTTCTCCTCCATTTGTTGTTGGAAACTCCCGTGTATTATTTTATTGTGCTCTTTCATAAGACTCGCTCTGTTAGTTGTACTGTAAAACAAGGCTGTTTCGTTGGTCTTGAATGAACCGATTACATTACGGACACTACCTGCACATATTACGGTTCGGTTTCGAGGAGGAAAAACCAAAACGAATCACACTGTCTTCGCAGCCAAGGCTGACGTGACCTCTAGCTTTACTGTCGTGATACTTTGAGTGTCGTGAAATGACACCCGGACTGTTTTGTTTTTATTTCGTTTCAGTCGGTTAGAAAAACAAGCGTACCCAGAATTAAATATGTTGTGTTGACACTCTCTGTTCAAGTGTTACTTTTAACTTTGTATTCTGGACTTAAAATCAAGATGAACAACATTAACCTCATTTAAAGAGATAGTTCATGCAAAAAAAAAGACATTTAATCACCAAAAGTAGATATTTTGTAGAATGTTACAACCATTTACTTCCATAGTAGGTAAAACAAATACTATGCATATCAGTGGTTCCCTTTTACTTAACATTTTTCTAAATATCTTCTATTGTGTTCAACGGAAAAAGGAACTCAAACATCAAGTGAATGATGATGTAAGTGTTAAAGTTTTGAGTGAACTGTCTCTTTAAGCACACGTTAACATAATGTCTAACAAAGTCAGTAGTTTTTAAGTCCTAAAGGGGACCTATCATGCAAAAATCACTTTTATAAGGGGTTTGTGTGGCAGCAGTGTGTGAATATAACCAGCTTCTAATGATAAAATGAATTAATTGTATTTTTTATAATCACACTTAATAAAAAAAACAGCCTGCAGAAATACTTTGATTGACATTCTCCCAAAATGATGAAAATAACTGCAAAATGACAATAAGATGTCCTCTTTCACCAGGCCGGCTACAGCTCTTTGTTTTCATAGTAACCGATAATGACTGATAAATCATTAATTCAGCACCAGTTTTGAGTACTAAGGTTAATAAACACAAAATAATGGGCATAACTGCAAAAATTAGAAAGTGAAGACCCCTTTCACTTGGCTGGCTACAGGTCTTTGATTCCATAGTGACCGATATAACCGATAATGTCCAATTAATGGCAGATATATCATTAATTCACGACTAATTTAAATACAAAATGATGGTAATTACTGCAAAACGAGAAAATGAAGACCCATTTTACCAGGCTGAATACAGATCTTTGATTTCATAGTGACCGATACAACCGATAAATACCGATATATCATTAATTCCCCACTAATTTGAATGAATTATTGGAATAACTACAAAAATGAGAAAATTAAGATCCCTTTTACTAGGCAGACTACAGGTCTTTGATGTCAAATTGACCGATATAACCGATATTGTCCAATAATGACTGACATATTACTATTCACCACTAATTTCAATACAAGATGATGGGAATGACTGCAAAACAGGAAAATTAATATCCCTTTCTACAGGCTGACTAGAGTGACTGATATAACCGATAATGTCCAATTAATGACCAATGTATAGTTAATTTACCACTAAATTGAATACAAAATGATCCTCCTTTTGTGTACGTGTCATCAGAGAGGAAAAGCCCTGCCCACTAGTAACCATCTATTCCTTATTTGAATAGACAGCCCTGAGTGAGAAGCAGCCGTCTGCCATTTACGTTTTGAATCTGCAACTATGCTGACACGTAGGCGTTTGTAGCCCCGCCCTTATTTAAAGAGTGCAATCTCATTTAAGTTTAAAGCGACAGTCACCAAAATGGCACAATTAGGATCTTAACCCTAAAAGGGACAGTTTCAATGAGTTGTAAAACATTAACAATGTGATATTTTGAGCTGAAAATTTACATACTCTTGTTTTACGTCTTGTAAAAATGAGCATAATAGGTCCCCTTTAAATCCAAGCAGACGCACAACTAAGTATATCTGGAGAATGTTGGCATATTAATATCATTAATAATTGTATAGGTGTAGCCCTAGTGCCTTTGCGGTCCTTAGAGACCTGTTTGAGATGAACAACCTTTTACATGGTCACTGTATAGGCGATGTTTAAAAACAACTTATTATTTATCTCTATTTTTCTCTTCTTTCTTTCTCAATTAACCTGGTTTGGTAGACACTGATTACTTGGGGGGTCGAAACTATGTGAATCTTAGCAAAATGTTTTATAGTGTGACTTGTAACCTATGTATTTGTTTTTTTAAATTTTGACAGAAATGCACTGTTATTAAATATATTAGTATAACTGGATTACTGTTGTGCTCTTGTTATTCCAATGCACACTTGAAATTATTATTATTTTTTGGAGGTAATTGATTATGGTGATCATACCTAAATAAATATACAAATGTACGACCATTTTGCTGATCAGCAAAGCAGTTATTTTTACTTGGTTTATTTTTTTAACAATGTGTACTGTGCACACTGGCATTTAATATTTTTTTCATTTAAAATTTTACATTTAAAACAAGAAGCTCATAAGAGTATTTATAAAACTTTTATTTAAAACATACAGCATTAATTTAGATTTTATAGTAACCGATAATGACCCTGATGTATCATTCATTTAACACCAGTCTGAATACAAAGGTTAACAAGCACAAAATGATTAGAATAATTGCAAAAACTAGTAAATGAAGACCCCTTTCACCAGGCGGACTATGGGTCTTTGATTCTATAGTGACCGATATAACCGATAATGTACAATAATGACCGATATATTATTAATTCACCACCAATTTGAATACAAAATGATGGGAATAACTGCAAAAGGAGAAAATGAAGACCCCTTTTACCAGGCTGACTACCGGTCTTTGATGAAATAGTGACCGATATAACCGATAATGTCCAATTAATGACCAATATATCCTTAATTTACCACTAATTTACCACTAAACTGCAAAATGAGAAAATGAAGACCACATCAAGGAGGCCGACTACAGGTCTTTGATCCCATAGTGACTAATATAACCGATAATGATTGATATTACATTGATTCACCACCAATAATAATTACAAAATGATGGGAATAACTGCAAAACAATAAAATGAAGACCCCTGTTATCAGTCGGACTACCGGTCTTTGATTTCAATGACCGATATAACCGATAATGTCCAATAATAACCGATATATCATTAATTCACCACCAATTTGAATACAAAATAACTGCTAAAACAAGAAAATGAAGACCCCTTTTACCAGGCTAACTACATATCTTTGATTTCATAGTGACCGATATAACCGATAATGTCCAATAAATACCGATAATAACCGTTATATCATTAGTTTACCACCAATTTGATTACGAAATGATGTTAATAACTGCAAAAACAAAATGAAGACCCCTTTTACCAGGCCGACTACTTGTCTTTGATTTCATAGTGACCGATATAACCGATAATATTCGATTAATGACCGATATATCAATAAATCACCATCTATTTGAATACAAAATGATTGGAATAACAGCAAAAGGAGGAAAAGATGTCCCCTTTCACCATGCCGGCTACGGGTCTTTGATTTTATAGTGACCGATATAACCGATAATGTCTGATTAATAACCAGTATGTCATTAGTTTACCACCAAAATGCCCTCCAGTTCTCAAAAGCCCTCCTTGGCACTCTAATAAGTGACAAATAGGATCGGCTGGGCCTGCGGGGTCACCAGGCGCCGGGGCTTCGACCCAACAAGGGGGAGGGAAAAGCAATCTAGGACAACGTTCCTTTGGCCCGATTAGGCTGCCATGGATAATGCAGCCAAGCCAGTAATACATGGCAGGGAAGGCACGATGGTGGGAAAAGGAGGGGTGTTGCTCCCCTTTTTTCGCTGGCTCTCTTACAGGGTGGCTTTTGTTCAGCCCACTCCTGCTGCTCCAGCGGCTTGGGGTTTGTGTGTGGCGCTCGGGCACATCCCTGGGCCTGGATTTTTGCACTTGTCTTTTGTCTGCGCTTTTTGCTCTTTTCTCGCACGGCCCCAGGTGCCAGCCAACAGAATGCCGCCTTTCACAGGCACTCAATGCGAATGCAAACAGTCCGCTCTATTACAGCGACAGGAGCACATTCCAGCAGTCAGGAAAAACGAGAACAAATTAGATGGAGAAGACAATGTGGGAAGGTGTCGAGGGCAGGTACTGAACAACGCAGGGTACGACATGTTGGAAAAAAACTGGTTTATTTCAGCAAAATATACAATAAAAAGTCATCGTGTAATCATATTTTTCTCCCTTTCTTTCTCCAAAAACACGTCCGTTACATTTCAACTCCAATTATAAAAAGGGTGGGGGAGTTATATTCTGTATAATTATTTTATTTGTATTTTGTAATTATATTGACTTTCCCAGTGATGGGTTGCAGCTGAGAAGGGCATCTGCTGAGTAAAACATATGCTGCATAAGTTGGTGGTTCACTCAGCTGTGGCGACCCCTGATTAATAAAGGGACTAGAGTTGAATGAATGAATAATACTGATGAAAAAGGTGTAATGTTTACCTCAATATTTTCATTGTAACTATTTGATTTTGTATGCTTTAAAGGGATAGTTCATTCAAAAATGAAAATGTCCACATATTTTTTTTCTTCTGTCAAACGCTAAAGAAGATATTTAGAAAAATGCAGTTTAATGAAAACCATTGATTTGGGTAAAACAAATACTATGGAAGAGGAGTCAACCAGCATTTTTCAAAATATCTTCTTTTGTGTTCGACTGAAGCAAAGAGCTTAGAATGTCCAAGAGGCGACACTCAATAGAACGTTCAAATGCAACAGCAACAGACGCCATTTTGGATTGAAAGCGATCGGCTGTTCATTGGATCTTATTGCTGTCGTGATGGCAAGCAGCTGCTTTGTTTTTTATTTGTTTATTTAAAAAGCTCATTTAAGCTGAGATACAACCTGAGAGACGACAATACAACACTTACCATCACAATCATCAGCACTTTTAACCGTTTATCTTACAGAACTTATTAAAACTTATTTAATTAGAACTTTGAGTTATTATTATTATTATTATTATTAGGTAGGATAATCAATTTTAATAGCCTAAAATAAGCTTCAGTTTCAAAATTCAATGAACATTTGTTTTGGACAGATTTCACCAATTAAAGAGACAGTTCCCCTAAAGTTGAACATGTACTCACTCTTCAGACATTACAAACCTTTATGAGTTTCTTTATTAGTTGAGCTTAAAATATATTTTGAAGAAAGCTGTAAGCATTAACTAAAAAAACAAATCTTATGAACTTCAATGGTTACAGATTTCCAACATTTTTCAAAATATCTTCTTTTGTGTTTAACTGAAGAAACTTAACAAGTGAGGGTTTCTTGAATAAGGGGTGAGATTTCAATTGGTGAGTAAACTATCCCCAAGATATAATTAGAAATTCCTTATAACTTAAGTAAACTTAATTTAAATAGGTAGGGTTGTAATTTTAATATCCAAAAATAAATAAATTTGACCGGAGACGCAGATGTTTTTGACAGATTTTCTGAGATTCACCAATTAAAAAGACAGTATCTTAAGTAACCATTGACTAGAGAAAACAAACACTAAGAATAACAATGGTTACAGATTTCCAACATTCTTCGAAATATCTTCTTTTGTGTTTAACTGAAAAAAGAATCTTATAACAACTTGAAAGTTAGCAAATATACATTTTTGAGTGAACTAACCCCTTTAAATGCACATGCAGCAAAGTACAGTGTGTACACTTGTAGTATATTCAGCTGGACTGCATCCAGATAAATGTGTTGACAGTATATCTGCTCTCCGTGACTGGTTTGAGTCTGAAAAACGGGATAGAAACGGGCATCAGTGGTCTGAGCTGCTATCATGGCGCCGCCGGTGAGTTTGTTTAAGGGTCCGCCGCCCTGCGCTGTGTCCCTCAGAGGATGAGTCGGTGTCGTGTCGGCGGCGGTGGCGCTGTGGAGGGGGGGTCGGGGTCCTGCGCTCGGCCTTTGGCCCCCCTCCTGAATGCCTGTCACGGGCCCCGGCTCCACTCTGACTGCTCCTTGATGGATTAGGACTGTGGTGGTCCCGGGGATCTTTTCTCCGCCTGAAGGAGAGCACAAAAACACACCTAGACAATCATTTATTCCTGGCAAGCTTGAGAAGTCTGGTGCTGTTGCAGGCTTACGAGATACTTGTCAAAACTGAATTCAAATTGGTCACATGGATTTATTTGCATAGCAGTTTCACAATGTTTGTTTAAAGGGACGGTGCCTAATCAAAGCTCGAAATGACAGTTCTGTCTAAGAAATTTAATAAGAATTATTTTACCAACTCTGCGTGACGTCATCGACTTTCGCTTGAAGATTTAAAGGGCTAGCATTGCACCAGACCCCCGTAAGTGGTGTCGTTTGAAAGTGTAGAATCTATATTTTATGCACATATGCATCACTTTGGTTTTTCTTCCACTGTACAAAAGTTATTTACACTTAAATACACAGTATTTTGGATACCCGAGCTGGGTATTTTACATTTTCATATGACACATGTACAAGTTATAGCTCAAATGAAAGCTCTTGCCGGTGCTCATACGGTTCTAGCATTTATTTACTGAATTATATTCACATATCAAACAGTTGCCGAATGAACTGCGGTGTTTCCATGGCGCAGAAGTGAAAACAATACATTTATGATCAATAAGCAGCCCCAGATAGCACAGACAGCTGTCATCTCTCACCTTATGCTGTGCGCTTCAGGGCCATTTCTCCTCTGTTTTTGAGGTGATGTGCATAAGTAATCCATACCTGTCAACCCTCCTGTTTTTCCCGGGATTCTCCTGTATTTTACTGTTCTATCCTGCTATCATCCCATAAAGGTATTTTCCCGTATTTGTCCCGTATTTTTAGTCTTTCTCTGAACTGCGGAGCCTCCCTATGCGCAACCCATACCGCCGAACCACCAGGGGTCGCCCCTTGCTCTAAAACGTGATTCTTCTGTGCTTTCGCTTTGTTTAGGAATGAAAACACTTATAAATAAATATTAACAACAGCTCGATTCCATTTCCTTTTGATTAATGGCTTTTGGGTGCGTGTTAAAACAGACATACACACATAATTAATAATAATAATAATAATAATAATAACATATAAGGATGTCGATCTTGGGGTCCGTTCTTCGTACCTCGCTTAAATGATCTAAGATGATTTGGCAGATCCTGGATCTTTTAATCTTGATAACTGATCTCTCGCTAATTTGGTTCTTCAAACAAGTTCGCGAATTAGATTAGAATGTCTGGATGAACTGATCTGAGATCGCTGCGTGTGTTGTGTAGGACAGATCTATCGATCCTCGAAATCATGATCAGCAATGCAACGATTGGCTGACGGCACAGCAGCGTAATGACATCATCTGATTAATATTTAATTATCCATGTGAGCAAAATTACATCAAATTAGCAGTAAACGGTTTGTTTAATATGAGACGCAATAACTTTACACATTTGTTGTGAGCTGCAGGCTTTACACTTTCATTTGTCAAGACAAGAGTATTCATCATGCATTTCAATGCAAATCAATGTATTTAGTTCTACATTTAGAAAGGATTTTCTCTATAATAGTAGCCGTTTTTTAATCGGTGTAAAGAATAACTGGTTGTTTACAAAAGCGTTTTCATATTGGTAAAGGTGTCTGCAACTTTTATGAAGCATCAATCACTGGCATATTAACTATCAAAACATGTTTATGACTGCATAAATGTATTATTGCTTTAAAAAAAGTCACATATTGTGCATTTCTATTACACACAATTTGTACTAAAGCGATCTAAAAAGTTCATACCAATAAGTTTTCTCTTTGCACCACCAGATGGCAGTCTTTGTTCATTTCGAGAGTGCAGATTGCATACGTTTTATTAAAATGTATAACTTTATTTATTTTATTAATGACTTTAACTTTATATATATAGTTTAAAAATATGTACCATTTTCCCAAGTGTATATAACTACTACTGTAAGAAAATATCAGAATTGGGAACATACTTTCTGTATTATCTTTGCTTGAACTGAGCCGATCTAATCCTGTTTATATGAATTGAACCTGCTCCCGATCAGGTTTGACCTAGCAGAACTGTTGCTATGACAACAACTCTCGGATCAGCTTTGAAGAACGAAACGATCCTGGATCATGTCAAATCGTCAATATCCAAATCCAGCTAACTGAGTAATCCACGTACGAAGAACGGACCCTTGGAGGGTTTTTTTTTTCCAAACACAACAAAATTAGTCTTAAATGAGCATAAAAAGTTAGGAATGAATGCCTTCATTATAGCATTAGATTTTAAAAGTGACACTTCTTAATAAATGTAATAAAAAATCTTAATAAATGAGAGATTCATTCGTTGCTCTTTAATCAGAATGTGTAAGTTATACAGTGGAGAAACGGCTAATGAGATTGACAGCTTGATTCTGTTTCATTATAATAAATATTAATTTTAATAAGCTGAACTGTTTGCTAATGTATTTGCTGCTAATGTATATATTTATTTTTCCTTTGTTAATAATAATTTTTAAAACATTACTGATCATTTAACTGTTTTTTTACAATGAAACAGCTCAAAGTGAATATATTTAGTAATTTGGGGATTTTCTTTTGGGGGGGGGGTGTTGGGGGAATCCCTTATTATGGTGGGCATATCCTTTATTTTCACATCCCAATGTTGACAGGTATGAAGTAATCCTTTTATATGTCTAACGTGCTCCAAACACAGTGAATTATGTTTGATCAAACAAAAGAATAGTGAAATATGAAAACAATGATCGCTCCCTGTGGCTTGTACAGCACCTCTCATCAGTTGGAATACAATAACTTTTGCATAGATTATGGTGGAGACCTTTTTCTTTTTTCCTATGATTACAGACATGTGCAGGAACCACCAACATTATTTACAGCACGCTAGACCACACACAACCTAAAAGCTACACTTTCAAATTTGAGTTTATAAAAAAAAATACAAAAAGCGCCTCTTTTATTAGGTGCTTATTATAACACAGACAACATATACAGATATTTTAAACACTTTCAATAGTGTTTTATGAAAATTCAAAGGGTTTTCTTTTAAATTATACCAAATTATTGCATTTACATCTCTGCATGTGGATTTGGGAAGCTTTTAAATTTGGGTAGGCAAAATCCAGGCGGAAATCCCAAAATAGCAGCAGAGTTTAACTGGTTAAAATATGATTAGCTCTAATCCACAGCCTGGTCAAACTGTTCTTGGCGCAAGTGTGAATGTTGTCCGATTATAGTCCGGTCGCTTTTGATGATAAAAGCGCAAAGGCACAGTTAAACAAAAGAAATGAGTTATTAAAACTTGTTTAAAATATGTTGAAATCCTCAGTTAAACAGAAATATCTAAAAGAAATCATTTCAGTTTCGCAGAAAGGCTAATAACACTGCCCTCACCTTTATAACATTTGTTTTTAAATTAGAACATCCATTTAATTTACTTGATGTTCATGTTGGGTTAAAATTAAGTCATTATTTTCATTTAAGCATGTATTCAAAGTCTTTTCAACTGGTGTTCAAAAACTGGGCGAATATTTGGATGCTATGTCATTTTTACTGTTTAAAATTATTACATGAAATAAGTCATTCATTCATTAATCTGGGGTTACAACAGCGGAAGGAACCGCCAACTTATCCAGCATGTTTTACGCAGTGGATGCCCTTCCAGCTGCCCATCACTGGGAAAAACCCACACACTCTCATTCACATACATACACTATGGACAATTTAGCTTACCCAATTCACCTATAGCGCATGTTTTTGGACTGTGGGGGAAACCGGAGCACCCAGAGGAAACCCACACCAACAAGACGAGAACAACATCCACACAGAAATCCCAACTGACCCAGCCGGGGCTTGTACCAGCGACCTTCTAGCTGTGAGGCGATTGTGCTACCCACTGCGCCACCATGCTGCTCGTAATATAAATCATTTATTCTGGATAATATTTGAACTACTGCACCCATACTCATCTTTGACTTTTTGTAAGCCCTAGCTGTTATACTGAGAAAAGCTTGTATGTCTTTAAAAGACTGAAAGAAAATAAAAAAATAAAAAAGATGGGGTGGACTTAAACCAGTACAACTGTGTTATAGCGCCCTCTTGTGAATAAACTCCACAGGTGCACAATTTGAAATCACCATTCCTACTGTATTTAAAAAAAAACTCATTATTTACAAAATATTCAAATTTTGAATTATTTTAAACTTGCTAACACAATATAAAAATATACACACAGTTTACCTTTTACTGTTGATTTCAGAGTCGGAATCTGAAGATTCGCTCCTGCTTCTGTGCTTCCTTTTCTCTTTCTTTTTCTTTTTCTCCTTCTTGCTCTTCTTTTCCTTTTTGTTTTTCTTTTTGCTGTCGGACCTGTAATTAATACCACTAATTTAATTTTGTCGTCATTTATTCACACTTCACTTGTTCCAAACCAGTTTGAGTGTTTCTTTTCTGTTACCCACAAAAGAAGATATTTTGAAGAATGTTGCAAACGTGTAGCCATTGACTTGCATTTTATTTGCTTTTCCAACTGACAATACTGAGGCTAGTTGTCAAACATCTTTCATATGCTACACTGCAAAAAAAAAAAAAAAATAAAAGCTTTTTGCATTGTTTCTAGTATTAATATCTAAAAATTGAAGCATTTTCTTGACAAATTTTTAAAAAGGCATATTTTTCAGAAATAATGTGAATATTAAGTGTGTTTTCCTGAAAACAAGTAAAATAATCTAGTTTTCGCTTTGAAATAAGATTATTTTGCTTTGCTTTTGAGATGGAAACATCAAACATTACACCTGAGTGACTCCATTATGCTTGCCTTTGTTACTTTTGGTTGCTAGGTGACCAATAATATAGTGAGCCACTCTACAACCTGATGAAAACTCACTTATTTGTCAGTTTAAAGATTTTTTTCTGTCTTTTTGGCTTTAAATTTTGTCGATATTCAATTCACATTATGCTACAATGGAAATTACAGTTCTCTAAAAGTTGTTAAAAGTTTTATTTAAAAAAACTTTAAAGCTACTGTTTACTATTGATCACAATTAATAACAATGCGTGTGTGTATTTATTTATATTTATATATATATATTTATATT